GGGCCGGTGGGAACACTGGGAGCACGGAGGTGAGGAGCCACGTGGGTGCAGGGGCGGCGCCCGGCCGACTACAACCTCCCAGCGCTGCACGCGCACCGAGTCCCCACCACATCGAAGACCGCTGTTCCCCCTCAGGCTCTTTCAGCCCCCGAGCTGGCGCCCTCGGCCTCCCAGTCTCCCAATCTGCTCACTTCGAGTCTTCTAGACCTCACATGAAAGCCCCACAGCTCTCCATCTGTCTTTGCCGTCCTCCAATGCCCTAGATGGCTCAGTCCTTCAACGATCCGAATCTCTGGACTGCACCCCTTCCCTTGGACCCCAACAATCCCTTTCCCACGCCCCAGATTAGACTTCCAGCCCCGGGTCCCGGTGCCTCCAGCCCCCAGCTGGTCCCTGGTACCTGGCAGGTACATGTTGATCAGCAGGGGCTGGGAGGCGCCGCTCTGTCTCATCGCCGCCCGAGGCTGGGTGGTGGGAGGTTGGGGGGGGGGGTGAAAGAGGGGGGACGCGTCAGGCTTTGCGCTCTGGGGTACTGATCCCCGCCCGATGCGACCGCGGGTACTTGGGAGATGAAGACAGCGCCAGGTCCGGCAGGGCCTGGCGGGAGGGGGCTGGCCGGGTGAAGCGGGGATGGAGGGGGTCCTGGAGCCACGCTCCCAGCTACCAGGCAGCTTGGAACCCTCCGGCCCCCGGCGCGGGCAGGGGCCGCAATTTCCGTTTTAATTAAAGCGCTGTCGCCTCGGCCCCCGGGACCCCGCCCCCGCCCCTCTTTATCGCCCCATCGCAATAAAGTCTCCAACACGCCGTGCTGCAGCCAAGCGCACCCGGCAGCCCCCCGCGCCCCGCAGCCGGGAGACGCGCGGGGGATGGGCCTGGGCCTCGCGCTCTGACAGGAGTCAGGAGCGCGTTTCTTTTCCGCCTCCTGAGTCTTAGCAACATTGGTGGGTGGAGTACGCGGCCCACCTCGGACCTTCAGGGCCACAGTTCCTGCTACCCGACCATTCCCGCCCCCTCACCGCTTCCGTTTCCTCCCCCTTCTTCCTCCCACCCCCACCCGGGTTCCCGTCTCCAGGCTGCGTTATCTGCATCTTCACTTTTAAATTTCCGCTTCCCTCCCTCTCTCCTGTCGCTGCGCTCCCGGGCCGGGCAGCCGTGGCTCCCTTTATCTCCGCACCCCTCCTCCCCAAGCCTTCTCCCTCCAACTCCTCTCCCACTCTCTGCTCTTCCCTGGAGACCCGATCTCCTTCCCTGTCTGCCTTTCCAGGGCTCCCAGGCCTCTGGGCCAGCGCGGGGCGTCTTCCCCACAACTGCAATGGGTTGCCCCTCCCCCCTTTCTGGGTCTCTTCCGTTTAGTCTCTCCTCCTGCCTCCACTCTTTCTCTCTCTCCTGTCTCTCTCCTTTTCTCATTCATTTGTTCCCCATTAATTTGTGGCATACAGTAAGCTCATGAGCCCCCTTCCCCTTCCACCACAATGACAGCTCTCCCAGCCTTCCCATTCCATGTCATCCCAGCCTACATCCACCCTCACAACTGCTGCCATCCTGCCTATCCCTAAATCACTTGGGAATTGGCACCTTACTCTTACAAGAGTAAAGGGGCTAAAACAGGGTTGTGTACTGTACAAGGCCCCCAACTCAGGGGGAGTGGAGGCTGAAATCCACTCTGAAAACGTGGCAAAGATGCTGATTGTATATTAGCCAAGCTGATGTGCTTCCCAGGTGGCTTGGAGGCTCTGGGCACTTGTGGGTCTTCCTAACTCTGGATAGGCTGCCAAGGAGGGGTGCTGGCTAAAGGCTCTGGGCCAGGAGCCACCTGCAGCCATGAAGCACCTGGTGGCTACTGTTGGAATTGGTACTCTTCAGGCCTTTTTTTTCCCACTACTTGAGCCCAGGAGGTGATGAGGCCTGGAACTCCAGGGCACATGGATTAGAATGGGCAAGTTTTCTGTAGGATCCTGGTTCTGGGGTGCCTGACTGAGAATGGCTGGAAAGTCTAACGTGGTGGGTTCTTGCTGTTACTGCCAGTGTTTGTCTTTACTGGTGGAGGGTGTTTTCTTAACACTTCCCCAGATAGAAAGTAAGGAGCAGGTGGTCAGAGCCTGGAGACACCAAGGTTCAGTCACTTAATGCTCTCATCGGAGAGGCTTCCCAGAGTGAGCAGTCTATCCAGACATCCCAGCTCTAAACTGGTGATGGATCAGCATCTCAGGTTCTGAGCCCCTGCCTCACTGAGGACTCAGGTGTTAAAAGGGTAGGTGGGCTCCAGGAAGAATTTGTGCGGGTGTGGGATGGGGGGGTAAGTGGGAGGGTAGGGGATGGGCAGGTGTGTGGGGGTGGCAGATGAGAGTTGTCCTTTAACCCCATCTGGATCTTGGCTGCATCAGTAAGGAATTGTCTTCCTCTACCCGCTTTGGCCTTTGGCTGAGTGCAGCCAATGAGCAAGTTCCAGGCAGGGTGCAGGTCCCACAGGGTTCTGCAAACCACCACTCTGCCTGGAATGGGCCTCTGCAGCCCCCACACCTTTGTTGTCAGTGTGGGGAGCAGAGTCTGACCCCCAGGTCTGGGAAAACAAAAGTTGTTACAAATATTAGCTTCCCCAACTCCCTTGTTGTACAGATGAGGACACTGATACTTAGAGATAGATAATGCCCTGTTCAGGGTCACACTGCCAGTTTCTGAAGCCATCTTGATCTTTCCAGCAGCCACAGACCCTCCCAGAGAGAGAACAGCTCAGCTGATGGTAGAGACCAGATCTCCCTTTGCCCATTGTCTACTTCCCAAAACGGAGTGGGGAGATAGGCCTGCTGGGCTCTGAGGCCAGTTTGTCTGGGTTCAACTCTGGGTCTCATTTCCTAGTGTGACTTTTGGAAAAGTTACATAACCTCTCCACCTTAGTCTCTTCATCTGTAAAATGGGGATTATAGTACCTATTACACAGGATTATAAGGCTTATACAACACATGCTGACTGCTCAGACAAGGCTCTCTCTAAGCATTTAGCTATTGTTACTGCTACTATCCCCCAAAGAGACAGGAGCCTGTGACTAGGCAGGAACCCCAGGCTCCTTTGGGGCCCAGAAAAGTTTGGAGCTTTTCTGAGGCCTGAGGCTTTAAGCCACAGCTTAGGTCAGCCTCCACTTAGCATGGATTGGGGTCAAGAGTCCCTGTTCAAGTCACCAATTAAGTGGGTAGCCTCACTGAGGCTTCTCCCTCTCAGAGGAGGTCCAGTTTTTTTATTGGTGAAATGGATGAAGCATGGAGTGTTAGGAGAATCATCTGCAATAGACCCCACCTAGAACGCTGTCCCTTGGTTTCTGGACCTAACTCTGGGATCCATGGGGCGGGGGGGGGGGGGGAGACAGGGGAAGGAAAGGAGGGTCCTAATTGACTGCCCCAGTGCTTTTCCATAACACCACAAGCATTTTCAGGGGTTCTCAATGAATCCTCTAAACATCCCTGTGACACAGATAAGGCAGGGATCACTAGCCCCAGTTTACAAAAGAGGGAATCGAAGCTCAGGGGTGATATGTGATTGGGTCTGACTGCCGGTGTTCTGACTTCTAGTTCAGGGCTCTTCCCCCAGGGAGCAGATGCCTGACTGCACAGCTGGACCCGCGAGGACTGCCAGGTCCAAGTCTGACTGTTTTCCGACATCACCCTGCCTCCCCTCGGTTGGGGCAATGATCTGAGCCACCCCTCCGCATTGATAAGCCCACTAGGGGCTGGAAAACACAAGCATTCCTGAGGGAGGGACATGATGAGAGGAGTCCCCAGAGCCTTGGAGGTCCTGCCTCTGTGGGACTGAGGTTGTTATTACCTGGACAAAAGAGGAAACTAGGAAGAAACTACATTGGTGGCAGGGGCTCTGGTGGCTGCTGCCACACTCAGTCCTGCCATGTCTGTGGGCTTCTGCTACCTGCTCATGGAGCAGGCTCACTGTAGTCAGTGGCTGCGGGGTTGCCTCTCCAGCTCACCAGTTCTCCTAAGAGTGGGAAGGAAGAGGAAGAATTAAGAGTGAGTTGTTTGGAACAGTAGAGAAGAGGGGTATGAAAATGCTTTGTAAATGCTGGAGTTCAAACAATGTGAGGGATCGTTATTATTCAGACAAAGGGTCTGGAGGCTCTGTTCAGAGAGAGGAAGTCTCCCCCTTAGAAGGTCTGGTAGCCAGTGAAACCTCCCACTAATTCCTCCTCTCACACTCTTGCTTTTCTGTAAGGCAGAGATTTTATAAGGCTGGGAAAAGGATGCAGGCTTCTCTAGCCAAAAAGGGAGGGAGGTGACAATAAAGACTGGAAATGCCGTAGGGGTTCAAGTTGAACCCAACAGAGCTCCTGCACAGAGGCCCTGCCCTGCATGATGGTGCCTGTCCCAGGACTGAAATGCAGCATTAAATCCTGCTGTGGAGCTGTGTGCACTCCAACCAGGGGATGGCAACAGTGCCGTGTGGCCACAGTGCCCCTCCCAAGCTCATGGGCCTTCACCAAGGAGTGGTGTGGGACTAGTTGTAGTTAACAGTATACCCAAGACTCTTCCCAGCAGTTTCCTCTCAGCCCCATGACTAGCCACACACATCCTAATTCAGTTATGCTCCATAATCAAAGGTCCTGAAGCCTGAAGGGAGAGTCAGGTTGGCAGGGAAGGACCCTCAGAAAGATGAGGATGGAAATCACAAAGCAAGACACAAAAAAAGAGGCAAGAGGGCAGGCAGGTTCAGGAGGCTTTATTGAGGGTCCTCAGGAGAGGTGTTGGGGCCATATGGCCTATTGCTGTACTCTTCAAGTGGACTGCAGCTGCCCAGTATGGACTTGTGTGCCAAATTCGCTGTAGGTATGGAGCTCCCTGCCATGCTAGTCCTGCTCCAATACATACTGGTAACCCTGGTAGCCTGGGTATTGGTAGGCCACCCACCTAGACCAGTGAGGGCAAAAGGGTGGTAAGTAGGCTCTGCCCCTGCCCCATCAATGTCCTCCATTCGTAGTAGTCCTCCTTTCACAGTTCCCAAACCTCAGCTCCAACACCATTGCTTTCCTACATAGATCTCTTCCTGCCCTGCTCACTGTTCCACATCTTCCTATCACCTTCCTGACCATGTCCCCTATTCCTGCCCTCCACTGCCTCCTCATCCAAGTTTTTAATATTTTCCCCATCCCTATATTGTTCCCCTGACTCCTATGACCTGCCCCTCCCTCCCAGACAATCTCCACCATTTCACTTTCTTCTGCTTCCCTCCAAGTCTCCCATCACCTCTCTTCCCTCTGTCCTCCAGTCTCCAACATCTCTCTTACTATGTCTTTTAGCATGCCAATTACCTTTCCTCACTCTCCTCTCTGTTCTTCCCATCTCCCTTATTCCAGTCCCAGGACTCACGCTTCAGAGCTGACTTTAAGGGAACCCACATCCCTACTGGCCCAACCCATGGAGGGCAGGGATGGGTAGTCATCACTGTGTTCAAACCTGCAAACCTGGAAGTTGTCCCCCTCAAATAGTGTCACAGGGCTGTCACTGTGGTTCTGAGGCACAGAAAGGTAGGGGTCAGCCCTCCAAAGAGGTGTTAATAGGTACATTCTCAGCATCACTCCCCCCACTTCACTGCCAACAGTGTGCAGATAATTAGGCTCCACAAACACTCCTGGCAGTTATTCCATTAGCTTCCTAGCAGCCTGAAAAGCTGGGGTGCTCAGAGATTCCCAGTGTGGTCTCTTCTATGGCTTTGGATTGAGGTGGTGAGACTGAAGGGGGTGTCCCAGAGACCTTTCCAGGTCAGGGCTGGAAAGTATCTTGTGACACTGACCTGTTTTTCATGAGGAAAATTAGAAGTCTTGAGAGAAAACTGGTCCATTAATGAAGACAGTTTCCCTAAGGGCCTCATTGACTAACCCAATCCCCTGCCCAGAACCCTGGGCAGCCCAACTAATGGGTTGGATGGCAGAGTCAGAACAGATAGGCCAGGGCATCAGTGTTGCTTTGGTCTGGCCTTCCACAGTACCAGGTTCTTCCCCCTGAAAGGCTCCTTGGTCTCCTGGAATGGTGAAGCTTGCTCTCTGCCCTCCACCTCCCAGTCCCTGGCCTCACCAGCAGGGTACCTAAGTCAGCACAAACAAGAAGTGAGATCCTCCCCTTTAGTATATTTGATTTATTATCAACCCTTTCACCACAACACACACACACACACACACTCACACTGACCTTTCTAAGCCTTGATTCCTGGATTGAGTTCTAAGTCTCATGTGATCCCCATTTCCACACTAGTGTATGGGGCTAATAGCAGCCACCCAGACCTCATAGGGCTGTGTGATGACAGAGGCACTCTCTCACTCTTGCCCACAACTGGATGTGAGAAACCCCATGCCTCTCAAGACTGGCATGGACTCAGCGCTGTCCGTGGTGCTGATCTTCAACGTCTGGTTTAGGCCCACAATCCAATCTTATGGACAGCCCTCTAGTTCTGGGAAGTAATGCCACTACCACCCATCTAAGAAAGATGTGTTTACGCACCCCCAGTCAGTGGATGTCCTTTTGGAGGCAGCAGGGTGGGACCAGGGCCTGGATCCAGGAGTTAGGAGGGAGAAGAAGAGGGGGAGAGGCGTGTTCACCCGCAGAACACAGACCGGAAAGAGAGCAGCTGGTCACTGCTGTGGTGGCCACCACTGTCATTCCAGGCGCTCTAGCAAGAATGGTCACCCTTCTCCAGAATGATTTGCTGTCCCTGGAAATTGGGGTACTCATAGGCCATCCAGCTGGGGAAAGGTAAGGGGAGCTGGGAAGCATCTGCCCAGCAGCACTATTTCCTCCCCCTCCCCCTTGTTGCTGTGATTGAAAAGATTGAGAAACCCGATACTTTCCTCTAATCCCAGGCCCTTTCCCTGACGCATCCACTGCGTGGCAGACCAGCTCCTCTAGGGCTAAACACCCTGAACAGGGTGTGAGGGGTCCAGACTTCCAGCTCAGTGCCCTTAGGGTGGAAAGAATTTTCCAGCTTACAAAGATCACCCAACCAAGTGCTTCTACATCAAGAATTTAGATGCCTGCAAAAGTAGGTGTAGGAACCCTACTGCACCCCAACCTGCGTAGCAACCTATGATAACAACAGTCAGCTCTCCCGAGGGCCCAGGCTCTAGGAGACCAAGGTGGATCCAGTGGAAGAGATTTGGCTTCTTTTGTTAAATGAAGCGTAGAGCCCCTAACTTTGGAGAGGAGATTAAACTGGAAACCTCTTCATTGTTCAAGCTGGCCCCACAGCTCCCCCGCCTCTGCAGCAAAGGTTCCCTTTTCACCTTTATGCTTTTAGCTCACACTCTGTCATATGACTGGTCTTGAGGCAGCTGGGGATTTGGGGGAGGCCAGAGGGTTTCCTCTGTTGGTGGGTCTTTATCAGGCAGGGCTTACAGACCTGGGAACGGAGGGCTGAAAGATGATGTCTCAGGCTCGGAACTTGGGCTAGGGGAGCCCAGAGCCCCCCAGTCCAGTCCAGCCGCACCTGGGCGATCACTCACACAACGCGTTCCACCTTGATGAGCGTACCCTTCGCAGGCCTCCTCGCTCGCAGGTGTTCGTGCAGTCACTCAACACCCGACCGCGGCGGCCCTGGAGTCCTCTTTCTCTCGGAGTGTGAGGCAGGCGGACTCGGCTGACCCCGCGCGTGGCTTTCAGTCATCTCGCCCTCCCCCGCCCTGAAAAGACCCTGCCCCAGCACGGACTATTCACCAGCGGGTGAGCGTGGTACTGACGGAAATGGAGAGGCTGCGCAGGGGCCGGGCGTGCGGGGCTTTATACTCGGCCTCGCCTCCCTCCGCACGCCCTCTCCCGCTGGGCTGGGGGGAGCTGAGTCAGCGGGCAGGCTGCGGTCAGCTCTGCTGTCCCCTGAGGAGCCGAGGCCTTTCCCGCAGCCGCGGATCGGGCCCCTGTCCTCGGGGATTACACTAGAAAGTGCTGAGGCACACGTCCCGCGCACCCTGCAACCAAGGGTGACTCAGCTTTTTCTTTTTGGGGGGCCAGAGCCAGGCAAGGCGCACGCGACCTCGAGCAGAACACGCCCTCCCTGGCCCAGACCCTCGGGACTAGAGGTACGAGGCTACCCAGAAGCCTCACTGAAAATGCGCATTTCCGACTGGAGGCACGAAAGTTCTTCCCAATGTCTAAAGTCCACCGTTTCTTCAGGCCTAGGTCGAGGCCTCTCTTTTGGGCGACGCTAGGGTAGAGATAGACAGGCTCCCCGAAAGCGACTTTCCTCACACCCCAGTCTTCTCTTCCCTGTAAGATGGCTCCATCGCAGCCTCTTTCCTCCCAAATTGAGTTCCCAGATCCGCGCTGTATTCCTGGATTTTCTTGAGCTGAGGGGCGCAAGGCAGTGCTGAGCGCTCGGATTTACAAAGCACCTAGAATAATAATAACTAAGGAAGTGGCTAGAGTAGTTACCAGCCACCTGACAGCTCCAGGGACTGGGCTGGGGTCCCCACGTCTACTTGAGAGCCGGCAGCTGATCACTGATTGCCTAGTTCAGGCCAGGCGCTCTGCTCAGCTAATTCTCACACCATATCCGAGAGGTAGGAGCTGTTCTTGCTCTGCACTTCACAGAGGAAGTGGCAGCTTAGGAAGGTCCTGCGGAAGCTGGTGGAGGAGGTGTCCCAGCTGAGATGTGAACCTGGGTTTCTGTTTTGACTAGGCCCTCGCCCAAAATCCCCGGCCAGCTGGGGTGAGGAAAGGAGGTGAAAGGTTTGGGGCCCTAAGGGAGGCCCCAAGGAAGACATTTCCTCACAACTTGCAGCAGGATTTCTAACCACACAGCTGAATTCATTCCCACCTCTGTGCCCTTGCATTTGCTGTTCCCCATTCCCTCGAGTGTCCTAGTCACACGATCTTGGCGTGGCTGACTTTCTTGGCATGGGTGACCCTGTTTCTGACATTTACTGTTCATCACATCACCCTGTTTTCTTTGTATCATTTGTCACTCTGTAAATTTGTCTTTTTCATTTTTTGTTTATGAGTGTTTATGGGTGTGCTGAGTGTCTTCTTTTAGACCAAATGTAAGCTCCTTTTAAGCAGGCTGTGTCAGTTTTGTTATTTTCAAACCTTAGCACCATGCTGGACACAAACAAAGTAGGCGCTGAGTAAATCTTGAATGAGTGAATAAGGTGGTCAGGTTGGGTCAAATGTCCAATGGGGATGGGGTGTAGAGGAAATTCTACAATGAGAGTGCAGGAGTAATGGTTTGCCCATCCTACCAAGTTCCCCACCCTGAAGTTCTGGGGTGCCAAGAATAGGTGCTGAGGGCAGCCAAAGTCTCCCCTCCCCTGTGTCTCTCTCTTACTGGCAAGGAATTGCTCTTGAGGATCACAGTGTATGTGAAGGTGAACGTCCTACAACATGGGGAATAAAGTCCAAGTTAGGAGGGTTTAAGTCAGAGCAGGGACACCATGGCCAGGTTTGATTGGGGATGGGTCAGAACCATGCCCAGTCCCCTGACTCCCTGCCCTAGAGGAGGTTTGGAGAGACACAAATAGACCATAATTTCCCCAAAACCATAAGGGAGAAATACAAACTATCAAGGGAGGCAAGAACCAATCCCGGACTCGGTGTCCTGGCCTTTTGCCTTGGCTTCCCAAATCGGGACTATGGCAGCAGTGAGAGGTGAGGAACCCAATTTCTCTTTCCCTCCCGGCTGCCTTTCTCCCCTATCTCTATTGTAGAATTCTGGATTCAGCCACCAGGAGGCGCGGACGGGCCACTTTGGGAGGGAAGCTGAGGCCGCCGGGCTGGTGGAAGAGGCAGCTGGTAGGAGGTTGAGGTTGGGAGGGGTGGCGGGCGCCCATTGCGAGTGCGTCAGGCTGTGCGTCTTCGCCGGTCGGTGACGCGGGCCCGGGTGTTAGATCCGAGGCTGCGGGGTGTCTGTCAGACTGGACACTGTGTTTACAGGAGCTGGGGCCCAGGGTCTGGGCATGCCCCTGAAGTTGGGGCTCCACCTGGGAGGGCTGTTTCCAGTCCAGGTGTTGGTCAGATCAGAAGACTGTATTCCACAGGAGGGTGTGTGTGTGTGTGTGTGTGTGTGTGTGTGTGTGTGTTTCAAAGGCTTGGGGGAAGTGGTGGCAGTAGTACAGCTGAGATCCAATTAGAATTAAGAGTCCGGCTGAGATTTGGGGTGGGGACCCTGTGTGTGTGGTGAGCAGGGCCACTGTTCCTCTTCTAGTCTTAAGTTCCCATCTTGGCTTGCACTATGAAGCTGTGGGGCACTAGCCAGCCTCTCCCCTCCCCTGTACCTCAGCTTCCTCATCAGGAAGATGGTGTATAGGTACCACTGCCCCCACCCTACAGTCCACAGCTTTTCATTCTAGCTGTCTGCACACCCACCAAACACTGCCAATAGCTAGTTGCCCAGACCACCTCTAGACTTCTCTCAAGATCTCTCCAGTCAGGGTCCCCTCCCCGACTCTGGACCTCAAAGTTGAGGGAGAAAGGAAAGAATGAACCACTGAGGGGAAGGAGCAAGAAAGGGGCTGTCAGGGGTCCCTGCCTGGTGTGCCAGAATGGAACTCTGGGTTTCTGTCCCTTTCCTGTACTATGGACCCCCTCCCAGCTTCCTTTCTTTGTCCATTAGGTTGGTCCAGCTCCAGTCCCCCAGTCTCCCTTCATCCAACCCCCTCCTAGCCCCCCTCCCAACCCCCCAGCAGCTGGTCCTGTTTGTTTTCCCAGATCAGTTTTGCCCAGAGCTTCCTGAGGGTGGATGCACAGGTGGCTTTGTTTGCCAGCTCAGCACCCTCATTGCTACCTCCTCCACAGCCACAGCCTTGGCCTTTAGGTGTGGAGAGGGAGAGTTAGGAAGACAAAACAAACAAACAAAAAACAGTGTCCCCACATCCACACTTTCAAGAGACCTCAAGATCTCATAGAGGTCTCATCACCTCAGAGAACCCATCCAGTTCATTTTTTTTAAATATATATTTTTATTAATTTCTTACAGAGAGGAAGGGAGAGGAATAGAGAGTTAGAAACATCGATGAGAGAGAAACATCGATCAGCCGCCTCCTGCACACTCCCTACCGGGTATGTGCCTGCAACCAAGGTACATGCCCTTGACTGGAATCGAACTTGGGACCCTTCAGTCCGCAGGCCGACGCTCTATCCACTGAGCCAAACTGGCTAGGGCTCCAGTTCATTTTTTAAAAATATATATATTTTATTGATTTTTTTACAGAGAGGAAGGGAGAGGGATAGAGAGTTAGAAACATTGATGAGAGAGAAACATCGATCAGCTGCCTCCTGCACACTCCCTACTGGGTATGTGCCAGCAACCAAGGTATATGCCCTTGACCGGAATCGAACCTAGGACCATTCAGTCAGCAGGCCGATGCTCTATCCACTGAGCCAAACCGGTTAGGGCTCTTCATCTCTTACAGGGACCAAAGTTCCACAGAGAAATCCTCAGGACATTCCCCCACTTATGATTCTACCCAAACACCCATCTCATAAGGCACCCTAAGATCTCACAGAGAAAGCCTTAGACCCAGTTCTGTTTCCTGTAGATCCCACTCATACCCCCATCCTATATGGGGACATGTAGATCCAACAAAGAAACCCTCAGACCCAATCCTGGCCTCTCACCCAGGTCCCCATCCCAGTTAAAGGCCCTGAGAATCCCCAGAGAAGTGATGTCTCCTTCATATAGAGCCCCATCCCATAAAAGGCCCAACTTCTCAGTACTGTTGGGCAGCTGAGAAGTGCCTGGTGGCCCTTGTCCTATCAAATCAGCCTGCTCTCACCCTTACCCCTCATTTCACTGGGAAATCAGCCAGGGCTTTGGTGACTGAAGATGCAAATTCTGTGAATGGTGCCCTCTTACACCCTTGTACCATCACCAGCCCCTCCTTTGCAGCTCTGCTCCTCCACTCCCTGCCCCCACCCCAGGTCTGGAGCCAGGAACAGGCAGATGAGCACTTTCCCTGGGGCTGTGAGGCCTGGTCTCCTGGGAGACAGAGATAACAGTGAGAGACCAGCTCAGCCCCAGCAGGGTCCAACAGCTGGGCCCCAAAGAGGTGGGTCTTGAGGGGGTGGGAGCCCCACCCACACAGACCCATTGTCTTATCCTGCTATAAACAGAGCCCCTCAGTAGGGATAGAGAGCTGGCCACCATCCAGGGAGATGGAAGGCAGCTTTTACCACTACCCACTCACCCAGACACAAAGGCACCGGCTGGCACAGGGCGACAGGGAGAGAGTGCACGCATACACATGTTCACACAGTACAGGCACATGGATGGGTCCCACATGCACCACAGGTAAACATCCCAGCATTTAATAAACACCTCAAAGTCACACTCATTGATGCGCTGACATTGCTCACTCATTTCTCAAATATTTAGTAAGATGTACTATGTGCCAGGCACTGTGCTGAGTGTTGGAGCGACACCTGAGTGTGCACCTTCACATGCACATATCCCGCTCATGGTCACCTAGAGATCATCATCTCAGCCACCCACCCATCATCATACACTGAAGATGGGCTCTGGAGTTACACTGCTGCCTGGGTTCAAATCCAAGCTCCACTGCTTATAAGTTAGATGAACTTGTACTCTATTTCTCAGCTTTTCCCTCTGTAAAATGGGAATAATAGTCTTAAAAACTGCTGTGAAGATTTAAATCCATGTAAAACACAGTCTGCTGTATGCACCCAATAAATGTTAGCTGTTCCTGTTGTGTTTATAACTGGCTTTGCTGCATGGTTCTGCCCACCCCCTGGGGCTGGGGTGGGGAGAGGAGAGGAGAGGAGCCAGGGCAGCAAGCATAAGTCTGGGATCTGCATCCCCCTTCCCACACTTGCCTGTGGAAGCCAGCCTAGCACTCAGGATGAGGAGCCTTTCTGCCTCACCCCATTCCAGTCACTCTGCTGTGACCTGTTTGGGAGGACTGGGAAGGTCAGAGGGGAGTATCCCAATCCTTTGTTCTTGTTCAGGCCTCTGCTATTCTGGAAAGAATGCTTGGGAGTGAAACTGGAGATCTGACTTCTGGTCCCCACACCTTTTCTGGCTCTATATGTGGTCTTAAGCAGGGCACTTCCCCGCTTGGGGCCTCAGTTTTGTACCTGTAAACTAAGCTAACTGCTGATCCCGGAGGGGCCTCCCAGCCATGATTTCTGTGATCCCGTGATGCCTCAGGAAGGTTCCCTGCTCTTCCTACCCAGCCTCCCCCCTCCCCTTCAGACCTAGCCAGAGTGAGGGGGCGAGTTGCCTGCTGTCACCATGGGGACTAATCTCTAAGAAGGTCATTGAGCCTCCGCTTCTGCCTTGGCCTGATGGGGATTAGTACCTGGGTATGAACCCCCCCTTGCTTCCAAGCCCAGGTCCCCCACTCTTTATAGACCCTGGGCAGCCTCCACACCCAGAGGCTCCAAGGCTGGGCCAGAATCAGCAGGTGGACAGTGGAGGCAGGGCAGCTGCCACAGTTGTCTGTCTTTCTGTCCAGCTGTGGCCGAGAGAGAAAGGGGAAGAGATGGAGTCAGATCATGCCCCACTCATGGCCTGAGTCTTGCCCCTCTTTGGCTTCTGTTTCTTAATGGGGAGAGACTGGTCCCCCAAAAGAGGGTGTCACTCCCACCTCCAGCCCTGGCTGTCCCATTTGCAGCCCACATAGAAACCACACTTTCTCCTCTTCTGGAGGCAATTTCCCCTCACCAATGTGGGATGAGGTGAAGGCTGTTTCCACATCACCTCCCCCTCCTTCTACATATACTGTGCCTTCCACCTCTGGTTACCTGACCTCTGACCCTCCATCTCTAAATCCCTCCATCTCTTTTAAGTGTACATCTCTGTTATCTCACATTGTCTCTGTCCCTCTTTGGGTT